ACTCCATTTTTATTATAAATTATATTATAAATTTTTGAATTTGCTAAGAAATATAATACTGATTATCGATTGTTAAATTGTTTCTTACGAAACAAACTTCATTTACGATAGTATAACAGTTACAAGTCGATAATTCGTTAAACATACGTGAAGATACAAAGAAAATTCGGTCGTAAAAGAAAAGAAATTTTTTTAATAGCTCCCAAATTTTTAATAGATCACAAGATATTCCAATTTTTCGAGATAATGTGAACACCCTATATATACCGTATGTACTTTTTTCTTTCTTTCTTTCTTTTAACGTCCAATACCAATGTAATACCCTTTCAACGAAATTTTCTTCCGTCCGATTGTTTCATTCGTTTCTATTTTATTTAAGCTAAGGTTCAAGATAATCTGAAATAAATGAAGTACCAAGTCGGATGTAACAGCAACGAAGGGGGAAAAAACAAAAGAGAGAAAAAAAAAGAGAGAAAAAAAAATTGGACATAATTGTCCTTCTTCGTTTTGTTCTCGTGCAATACTTTAAGAATTTTTTAATACGTACCAATGAGAACAATTTTCAAAGGAACGAATTCAAAAGAAATTATATTGTCGATCGTAAGGAAAATTACTTTAGCGATTTCAAAGAGACAAAAAGATTTTTTTCTTTCTTTTCTCTTTTCTTTTTTTTCTTTTTTTACAATATTAAATAAATTAAATCGGTCGAAACAGTAAATTCTTGAGGATCCAATGAATTGTTTTAATTAGATGTGTTTTTGGAATAGAATATTCTTATGCGTGGTCTCGTTTTTTCTTTCTTTCTTGTTTTTTACTTTGTCTTGCCATAAAGCATTAACTTTCTGAAACGTATCTTTTTTTCCCCATTGTTTCATCTTCTTCTCAGTGTTTTTTTTATCTAAGAACAGTGATTTGTCTCTGCGCTTAGGTCGACTACTTTTTCCCGTCTCACGCGATCTCACATTACTGAGGGATATTCGCACAGTAATATCATGCAATTTTCTTACTATACAAAAAAGGGAAGGAGACAGAGAGAGAGAGAGAGAGAGAGAGAGAGAGAGAGAGAAATAGAGTGAGAAAAAGTAAGAGATAGGAGAGAGACAGAGGGAGAGAGAGAGAGAAAAAAAGAGAGTGAGAAAAAGTAAGAGACAAAAAAGAGAGAGAGAGAGAGAAAGAAAGAGAATGAGAAAAAATGTGAGAGAGAAAGAGAGAAAGGGAATGAGAAAAAATGAGACAAAAGAGAAATAGAGAAAGAGATAGAGAGAGAGAGAGTGAGAGTAAAAGTGAGAGAAAGAGAGATGATCCTCGTTTCATAATTTTAAGCAATGTATCTATGTACTGGATGATTCTAAACAGTGGGGAAAAAAAATATATGATGCTCAAGATTTTATTATGAAACAGGTCGTACATATGTACGTATGTAGGTACGTATATATATATATATATATATATATATATATATATATATATATATACATATACATATATAAATACGTGATAAAAATAATAAATTGCAGAATCATGAGTGCTTGGAAAAAATCTCACGGTTCGTGTTACGGGACAACTATCACGGGAAGGGAAATAAAAACATTTCGTTTGACATACATAGATGGGTATAACGTATGAAACGTTTTCATTAAAGTTAAATTCGCTCAAATTTATCGATCATCTACACTGAAGGTAACTAACCGTCCAGCTAGCGTCATCGATTTTCGCAGTGCGTAATTTTGCGATATATGTATACATATGTTTCTGTGTGTATGTGTGTGCGTCCACGTGTATATATATATATATATATTATAAATGTTTATAAGACATACGCAAAATATATGTATAAAATATTTACGTATTATTGAAACAAAAAAAATATATATTTATACCTATATATATATATATATATATATATATATATATATATATATACATATGTAAATAAATTTATAAATCAATACGCATACGTTTTAAGTACAAAAACAATTTTATTTTCGTTTCATAATTAATATTAATCAGATAAATGACAATTCCTTCTAATTTCTTTTTCTTTTTTTTTTTTACTTTTTACCAAATACAAAATCAATCGATTTTTCTCGAATAAATTTCAATATTAATACAAAATACAAAATACATTAATACAAAATTTAATTAATACGCATACACGTGGATATTAACTAATATTTATCGAATTCTCAATTTTATTCTCATTGTATAATTAACATTAATCACATAAATAACAAGAATACAAAACCGATCGAATTTTCTCTCTTCAAAAAAAAGTCATCATAAATGAACATCAATAAATATGTCTATTTATATCTACGTAAATACGTAGATAATAATAATAATAATTTGATAAATATCAAATTAACGATTACATTATCGTTTTATAATTAATATTAATTATGTATATAATTAATAAGAAAAAATAAAAAACCAATCGATTTGTCTCCTCCCATCAAAAAAAGAGTCATCATGAATAAACATCAATAAATATGTCTGCGTGTATCTATGTACTTATCAAATAAATTATTACATTATCGTTTTATAATTAATGTTAATTATATAAATAACTACTATCAAACATACATATATACATACGCAAATATTGAAAACGAGACTAATCAATATTTTTCTGCAAAAAAACAAAAAAAAAACAAAATAAATAAATAAAAGATAAAAAGAAAAACATCAATGTCATCCAATATTCCAACAAAATGTAATCGGAATTGAATTAACGCATCACTTCCCCTTTCCTGCCAACTCTCCCTTCCCTCTCTCTCTCTCTCTCTTTTTTTTCTCTATGAACACCACAGACACGAACCAGAAAAAGTTAGGCTCGTACCGACGCTGTGGTCGAAACCACCCCCGTCAGACGGCTCCAACACCGGCCGAGAAGAGTCTTTCCGCCACGTTTTCCAAAGCCGGGTCGTCTGACTCCCTACCGAAGGCTGCTGCTGCGCTCGCGTGGCGCGCGCCAGAGAGGGTGAAATACGTATGCAAGAAAGAAATAGAGAATAATAAAGAGAGAGAGGGAGAGAGAGAGAGGAAAAGAGAGGAAAAGAGAGGGAGAGAGAAAGAGAGGGAAAGAAAGAGAGAGAAGGAGGAAGAGGAAAGAGAGAGAGAGAGAGAGAGAGGGAAAGAAACTGAATCTCGTGGGGGGGCGTGGGGGTGCGCGCGCAGGCAGCCCTTCTATAGCAAACACGTAATCGAACTGGGAGCGCCGTGCTTCGTCGTCGGCTCTGTCATCCGCGTACACGACAGGGCTGGATCCCTGACGAGAAACGAGTTAACAAAAAAAGAATAGTAAAAAAGAGAAGAGAAAAGGAAGAAAGAAATAAGGAAGGAAGGAAGGAAGGAAGGAAGGAAGGAAAGAAGGAAGGAAGGAAGGAAGGAAGGAAGGAAGGAAGGAAGAAGAAAACAGCGAAGAGGAAAAGTGAAAAAAGGAAGAGAGGATCCAAAAAAAAAAAGAAAAGAGGAAAAAGAAAGAAGGATTATTACACGAAAGATCGGATAAAGTGAAAAAGATAAACAGAGAGGGATAGAAAAGAATAGAGGGGAAATTGGTCGGAAGGAATATAAAAAAAAGGAAAAAAAAAAAGAGAAAGAGAATATTGAGAACAAAAGAAGAAGAAGAAGAAGAAGAAGAAGAAGGTGAGGAAGAAGAGACAGAGAAAATTAACGATCTAATCATAATCTAATTCGTAATCTATCATTTGGCTTAATTCTTCGACTTGGCGTTGGCGAGGCGTAAACTTCATGAGGAGTAACATGTCAGGGAGGAATAGACTAGGTTCTATGTTTTATTACAAAGAGGAAGAGGACCGTCCTACTATTGCTACTACTATTACTACTACTACTACTACTACTACTACTATTATTACTACTGGTTACTACTAGAGAATTTAGTGATTATCGTGATCGGTGGTGGCAGTGGCTAGTGCCGCGTCGTAGAGAGTGAGAAAGAGAGAGAAAGAAAGAGAGAAAGAGAGAAAGAGAGAGAGAGAGAACGGTGCCGTGTCTCGTGCTGCAGGTGCTCTCTCGTGTTTGCTCCTGGCTGTGCTTGTTGGTTGGTTTACGTGTATGAGTACGCACAGGATGGATGGAGGAAGAAAAGGGTGAGGAGGGACGACGGTCGAAGTAAACGAAGGTTATATCGCGAGTGTGTATAACGTGTATACCGTTTTCTCTTCTTTATATAGATTTTCTTTCCGTAATTTGTCCTTTTCTTTTTCTTTCTATCTTCCTTTTTTTTCCTTTTTTTCCCAGTTTTTTCTCCATCTCTCTTATTTACCTTTTCTCCGTCCATTTAATACGAAAGATTTCTTCGAGATAGAAAGAAATAAAGAAATAAATAAATAAGGAAAAGAGGAAAAAAATATAAGTAAATAAATTGATTAATTAATGAATGAATTAACTCAGACAAATATCGAAGATTATTATAAAAATAGATATTAAAAAACGATATTCTCGATTATTTCGAGAAATCGTCGTCGTCGTGATCGTCGTCGTTATTAGTTCGTCGTCGTCATCGTCGTCGTCGTCGTCGTCGTCGTCGTCGTCGTCGTCGTCGTCGTCGTCGTCGTCGTCGTTCGATTCGATTCGATCGTCCGAGTTTGAAATATCCAGGACGATTCGTGCGAGAAATAAATACGTTAACGTTACCCTGGTGCTAAATAACAATGGCGTCGAAGGTGACTTCGTCCAGGGAATATCATTTCGTAAGAGACGTTATTATTGAATTCGTTAAAACACGTCGCGCATCGAAATTATTATCGTCAACGTCTAAGTTGCCGTCAACGTTTACGTTTACGTCTACGTCGCCGTCTACGTCGTTTACGTTAACGTCTACGTCATCTACGTCATCTACGTCGCCGTCGTCCACGTCGTCGTCTTCGTCCTCCTGGTCGTCGTCGTCATTGTCGTCGTCGTCGTTATCGTCATCCTCGTTCACGTGAGAAGAAGAAGAGGAAGAAGAAGAAGAAGAAAAAGAAGGAGGAGAGGAAGAAGAAAAATAGGAAGAAAAAAAAATTGACGAGAAAAAGGAAAAAGTGGAAAAAGAGAAAAAGGAAGAGGAGGAAGAGGAAGAAGAAGAGAAAGAGAAAGAGGAAAAAGAAGAAGAAGAGGAAGAAGAAGAAGACGCGATGTTACCTGTTAGGTGCAGCTACGAGGAGGCGCGACGACGTAGACGACGACGAGGAAGGAAAGAAGTAAATTATCGTCGTGACTCGATCTGATCGACAAAGTTATTTTAACTTTATTTCGTTCATTTTTTGTTACTTTTATTTATCTAATTAATTAATTATTTATTTATTTATTTCATTTTCTTTTTTGTTTATTTATTTATTTTTTTCTTAATTAGTTCGTTTCCCTTCTGATTTTCGTTTTTGTTTTTCTCCCCGTTCTTAACATATCTCTAACCAAATTGGCCCAGGAGTCCAAGCCTCCCCTACTCCACCTGAACAATCCCCACATTGATCTCATCTCTCGTCAATCTCTTTGCCCTTTCTTCATCTTTCCTGCTCGATTATCTTGACTACCACCGAGATATTCTATCTATTCGGGAGGAGAAAGTAAATCTTTAAAGTAAAAAATTTACGACGTCTAACCAATAATAAGTGATATATACCTATATGTGTTCTCGAGTTAATAAAAAAAAACGCGTGTGTTAAGTTCGTGCTTAAGGACAAAATCGAGTTTCGTTCTATCTTTTTATCTTTCTTCGTTTTTCCTTTTTTCTTTTTTTCTTTCCTTCTTTCTTTCTTTCTTTCGGATATGTCGCGCAAGGACGCGATGATTCGATCGGTGCAATCGAGAAAAGGTGCGAGAAAGAAGTGATAGTGAAAGACGTGAAGTGATAAAAAGAAAAGAGGAAGCGTGCGAGAAAAAAAGAGAGAGAGAGAGAGATAGAGAGAGAGAGAAAGAGAAAGGGAGAGAGAAAGAGAGAGAGAGAGAGAAAAAGAAAGGGAGGAAGAAGATAGGCTTAGGAAAGCCGGTGTAGTAAGGATACGAAATCAAGATTCAAAAGGGAACCCGCGAAGTCGCGGGATAAACTATTCAACCTGGCGGACCAAGAAGAAAGTGGTTCGACTGCGATGCAGGGCAAGGAAAGCCCCGTCGGGTCCAACACCCAGGAGACTCATCAGTATGTCGGCCCTTATCGCCTCGAAAAGACCTTGGGTAAAGGGCAGACCGGTAAGTCCCTATGTTCTTCTATATATATACATATATATCCATTTCTACCCTGATTTGAGAACGATCCTTTGTACGAAATTATAAAAAAAAAAGTAAATAAAAAAGAATAAAAGAAAAAAAGAAAAAGAAAGGACAATATTTATTTACATATCTTTGGTCGAATTTCGATGAAGTTTCTTGGATTTTTTTTTCTTTCTTTCTTTCTTTCTTTCCTTCTTTTTCTTCTTTTCTTGGAAATCTGAACGACATACAAAGAGAAAGAAAGAGAGAGAGAGAGAATATCCGACCCTGGAAAGTAGAAAGTGGACCATGTAGATACACGTATCTTATAGACATGATAACTATATATCTATATCTAGTTACTATCTATGTATATATATATATATATATATATGTGTGTATATGTTTTTCCTACGTTAGAGAACGATTCGATAAAATTTCCTAGAAATTTTCAGTTGACAAGTGTTAACGTTGAGAAATCGTATCAACCCTTGAGCGATATGATCGTGACTTCGTCGTTTACACGATGCATTAACACAAACACACATACACACACATATATATATATACACACGAATTGAAGTGCATAGAGTCACGTGTTAGTTATAATTAACGAGCGGTTAGTACCGAATAAATTGAAGTTGTTATCCAACTATGATTGCACTTGTACTTCTCATTTGACTTCAGTATATATATATATATATATATATATATATATATATATATATTAAATTTTAAGAGACAACTTTATCATTTGTAAAATTAATTTCGACATCATTTTTGAATGAGCTTTGATAGTTTATGTTGAAGTTGTATACTTTATTAGAAAGTAACCTTGTCTTTATATCGAACGACATTACAACAGGTTTCGATCGTTTCATAAAACATACAAACACATACACACACATACACAAAGAGAGAAAGAGAGAGAGAGAGAGAGAGAGAGAGAGAGAGAGAGAAAGAAATGGACTTCACTTAAAGTCTTTTTTTACTTTGGTACTTACAATAAGATTAAGAACGATTGAATTCGTAGAATTATTAAAAAGAATAAAGAAAAATAATGATAAGTATTCGTTTCAAAATACACAATTGAAAAAACGATGGATCGAATTAATCCGCTCGCTATTTACTTCAATCCTAAAATACCTCTCAAAGACTATTCGCGGGCTTGGGCATACGTTGAAAAAAAAAAGAGAGAAAAAAAGGAATATAAAAAAAAAAAAAGAAAAAAAGAAAAAAGGGTGTTAACAATACGTAGATACGTACACACTCGGAAAATGCTATTCTCTCATACGTTCCGTTTAATCCTGCATGAAAGATATGTCGTTTGATTTTTTTCTCTTTCTTTTTTTTTTGCCTTCTATCTTTTTTTTTTTGTTTTAGAAAACCAATAACAAAACTACGATATTATCTATGGAAATATCGTAACCATCATTCCTTATCCTATCCGTACTAATCAATAACATTCATTTATATTGAGACAATTCAACCGTAAAAAATCGAAATTTTTTTTCGATTTTCATCTATATATATATATATAGATGAAAATCGAAAAAAAAAAATATATATATATATAAAAAATATATAAAAAAAAAATATATTTATTATTACATTAATATATTATTAATTAGTTTTATATATATAATCAATTAAATATTTACAATTAATGTTATCATATAAATTATATATATATATATATATAATTATGAAGTATATAATATTGAAGTGGCTTTAGAAAAATTCACATTTCTTTAGGGTTAATTTACGTAATACATATACAGTACGTAAATATGTATATACGTGCATATATACACACAAAAGCAATCAGCCAGGAGTGTATAAGTCATAATGTATTAATCGTGGCATTCTCTCTTTGTTTTTTTGTTCTAAGGAACAATAGCTAGACCGTATCAAAGAGATACTATATAAGCAAGAATAGTAGTCGACGCCTTTTGATAGTCCTCCGACGCTACATCAAGCAGAGAAATAAACGAAATGGAAGAAAGATCGGGCTTTTTATCGTTGAGATGGAAAATGTTCTACCTATAAAAAAAGAAAAAAAAAAAAAGAAAAGTACTTTAAAACGTTTTTAATAAAACATTTACGTACAGTTATTACAATAAATATTACTTGAGTAAATATCCATGTGTATACTTATATATGTTTACGAAAAAGGAACTATATAAATCTTGTTGACCTCTATCTACCTCTACGTTCTCTATAAAAGGCGAGAAATAACAAATTTATTGCGACGTTCCAAATATCGAGGAAATAAAAGTGAATCGAGAAGTCATCCCTTTCAAAGATATTCGCTTTTACGATCCCTCTCTCTCTCTCTCTCTCTCTTTCTATCTCTATCTCTATCGATCTATTTCTCTTTCTTTCTCTTTCTCTCTCTTTCCGGCAATTTGAGCAAGATTATGTCAACTTGCGTATCTAATACGTTTGAGGAAGTCACTAAAACAGATTCTTTTATTTTCTTTTACACGTCTTTTGTATTTACTCGAATTTACTTTGTCACATAGTACCATTTAAAAAGTCGCGTAAACAACTTTTTACTCGATCGAAAGAAGAAGAAGAAGAAAAAAGAGAGAAAAAAAAAGGAAGGAAAATAAGATCAACCACGCGAACGAACCTTTCGAACGAGAAACATGTTCTTCTTACGTTATCGGGGGTCAAGATCCACGAAAAACAAAAGCAATGTATATAAACAGAGATACGTTGATAATAAGAAAAGTTTAGGGTCTAAACAAAACAAACATATGTGTGCATGTGCATGTGTGTGTGTGTGTGTGTGTGTGTGTGTGTGTGTGTATGTATGTAGGTAGATAGATACATGTATACATACATACCAACATATATATATATATATATATATATGTGTATAAATACGTAACTAAAAGTCTAATAAAAGTATAATAAATATATGAGGAGATTATCGGAACGTAACGAATCGAATCGAAAGAACGTAAAGAAGAAAAGAGAACAGTAATTGAACGTTAATCCTTAAAGATTGTCACGATTGAAATTTTGTTCGTATATTATGAAATAAATTAACGATAAGTAAGAATTAATTTTTTGCCCATCTGTTCGGATTATATTATTTATAATGATAAAGTTCATATGAAATGAATCCATTCTCTTTCACACTTTATATATATATATATATATATATATATATATATATATATAAAATTAACATAACAAAACAAAATCAGATTAGATCAATATCTGATTATTTTAATTCTTTTAAGATTTAAAATGAATTAATATTGAAATTATATACATTATAAGTATCACGAATATTATTCGGATTATTATGAGTATTGATAATGTTATCAGAAAACAGATCAATTTTCTTTCATACGTGTAATTTTCTGTGAGTACAATTAATGTAATGAAAAAAAAATTAACTTATGATAATATTTGATCAGACCACTTCTAAGAATTACAGTTGATTACCATTGAAATTATAAATATCATAAATATCACGAATGTTATTTGTAATATCATCAATAGTTATAACGTTTTCGAAAAACACATCGTTTCTCTTTCTCTCTCTCCTCTCCCCCTCTTTCTCATATGTACTTTTTTATGAAAAAAAAAAAAAAAAAAAAAAAAAAAAAAAATTTTTAACCATAATAAACAAAAAATTAACATAGATTGATATTTGATCGACCTAATTCTGTTAATGATAAAACTACATTATGAAGTAAAGATATAATTATCACGAATAACCTAATTATAATTATGTATTTTATAATTATATATACATATATATATATATATATACACATAATTATAAAATATTTATATATTATCACGAATAATCTAAGATAATAAATATAATATATACATCTAATAAGAATCATGGTTGATCGTGGTATAGTGACAATAAGATATGTTAGATAAATGACGAATGAATTCTATTCGATGGTCTAAATTCCTTTACTCAAGGAATGAATAATGAAATTGCCGGTCGTCGTGCCATCAAGCATGGTTTGAATTATAACCTCGTATTGTATACTATGTACTTATATATATAATATATATAAGTACATAATATACATATATATATATACACATATATATATATATAAGTACATAGTATACAATATATATACATGCGATATATATATATATACATACATACATACATACATACATACATACATACACACACACACGACACATAACACGTATAGGTATTTAATGTGTATATGTCAATGGTCGAACTGAAGGCAATCGATGAAGACATTAATGAAAAAAGTATAACACGATAGTTACAATACTATTCTCTTGAGAAAGAGAGAGATAGAGAGACAGAGAAAGAGAGAGAGAGAGAGAGAGAGAGAGAAAGAGAAAGAGGTACTAAACGGTGCAGCAAAGAGGCAACGCGGATTGGACGAATGGGCGTGACGCGAAAAATCAATAGGATCGAAGGTGGTAGACTAAAGAGATGAATCGGTGCAACGTTGTTCTCTCGGTAAGGTGTGATTAACCGCACACATGAGATTCATATAGATGTCGTGTAGGCGTTAACTATTTACATTGATATTCTATTGTCTTGCAGTGACACCGAGTAGCGTGCGTGTATGTATGTATTTATGTATAGATGTATGTATTGTATCGTATCGTATCGTATCGTATCGTATCGTATCGTATTGTATTTCGCGTAATTACGAAACTTATTACACCACTTTTCTTCCTCTTCTTTTTCTTCTTTCTTTTTTTTTCTTTTTCGTTTTCTTTTTTTTTCTTTTTTATATATTATCTTCTCTACGAATACCAATCACAATAATTGCGTTATTTTTCTTTTTTTTATTCTTTTTTTATTCTTTTTTTTTTTTTTTTTTTTTTTAATAACACCTTTATTTTTACTTAAAAAGAATTTCCTTTTGAAAATCTTCCCTTTTCCAATGATTTTAACGAATCGTTGTGCATGAATATTAATGATTATCTTTTCTTTCCTTTTCTTCTTTTCTCTCTCTCTCTCTCTC